GAAAAAAAAAAAAAAAAAAAAAAAAAACTGCGTCTCATCACTTTTACACACATTATGACTCCACTCCATTATGCATATGCTTAAATTTCAATTATGAGCTCTACCCCTCTGAAAGAATCTTCAGAATTACTCCTAGCAATAAAAGACAAGCTGAAGATCCTAACACAACAGAGTATCTTATATGAATTACTCAAACAAAAGAAGCGGATCTTCAAATATTCACATTCCCCATTTATAAATATGAAAAAGGGTAATAATGAAAAATCTGCATCCTTGAAATGAAAAATTCGGAATGTATAAATTATACATATATAACAGGCTTAAACGTGTATTTTATACCTGAGCTGACCAGCGTGACACACTGTGCCCTCTCCATCACATCATCTTCATCTGATAGTACAGCCAAAAAAACAAAAACAAGTACCAGAGGAAAAATGAAATGATGGAGAAGGAGATAAGCGCGACGGAGAGAATTGTCATGTTGAGGACGACACCGTCACAGTAGAGGTTCTTCATGTTGTAGAGTTCGCCAACGATTCTGCTGCAGTTGGTGTTTTTGACTAGCAGCTGAACCTTGGTAATGATCATGTCTCTTAGGGTAATGAACTGTTGTTTAATTTTTTCGAAGAAGGTAAGGACATGGTTGAAGTTGAGATTTTCAATATCTTCTACAAGGTATTTACTGAGTATGGAGGTCTGTTGATTTGCATCCCCATTTTTTTTAATCCTTGGTGTGTATTCGCTCCAGCCTATTTTGTCCTTCATGTTGCTGTCCAGGTCGTCTACAGAAAACATCTTTTCGTTCCTGATTTTGGATTTGTATATGAATAGGTTCACCACATTGTCTAGGTCCTCCTTCCGCAATCCTGGTCTAACGCCATTCCTCAGCGCCTGATAATTGGCGTCTTCAATGGAGGACTTAAAGTTGATGTTATACTTACCGACATCCCTCTCGCAGTTTTCATTTTCGAAACAAAGGGCAAATCGGTTATCACCAAAATAATATTGATTCAAGTATTTTAAGTATTCATCCGTTCCCCACAGATTGTACTGGGCAAATTTGATATTATCCCGAGTGATGGTGGTTGCCAGGAGGGACCTTCTAAGATTTTCCAACACAATTCCATTGACGTATATGTTGTTGTTTGGCTTTGTAATGACGACCCACATGTAGTTGACAAAATTTCGTGTGTTTTCATGAAAATCTTTCTTCATTTCTTTAAAAGAAGCATCATAATCAAGCACCTTCTTTTCCATTGCCCTGGTGTCCAAATACTTCATATTATCCACAACCTCTTTGGTGATGTGCTCCGATAGGAGTGGTGAGGTTTCATGTTTCAAGCAGTAATCAATTGTGGTATCTTTGAACGCCTCAAAATTTAGTTCATTCTTTAATACCCTATCAGCGATGATGCAAGTAGTTCCCCCCAAGATGGATGTACTCAGCAATATTATACCCATTAACAAAATCACAATTGTTAGGAAGCCAAAGTAGGCACTGAACACACCAAAGAGGTCTAAAAAAAAATGATTACTATTTGCTACGTCTCCTTTAACCAAAAGGTATATGAACACCACTAGTCCAACAAGAATGAGAAGAGGAGGAATGAGTAAGATCAATTTTACAATCAGGATGGAGATGGTATACTTTTTTATACTCTGTTTTATTTTGTACTGATTTATTATTTTGACCATGGATTTATTGAATAGCATAATTTTTTCATTCACCTTGTCCATATTTTCTCTTAACGTTTTTCCTAACACTTCATCAATTTCTTCGAAGCTTCCTTTAACTCTTTGCTTTGCGTCTTCCAGGGCCCCCTGCAACTGCTGCAGACTCAACTGTCCTTCCTGGATTACTACGTCGAGAACGGTCACTAGCCTGGTAAGTACAGGGTACGTGTGGAAGTACTGCTGCTCCAATATGGCGTTGTTCTTCTGCACGTTGCTCTGCAACTTCTTCAGGTTGTCAAATGCGGTTAGGAACCCTGCGTGGGGAGAGAAGAAGGTGACGCGGTTTATGTGAGGTGGTGACGTGGTTTACTTCAGCAGGTGACGCGGCGATTGGGCACACGCGGCAGGGCAAACCCTACCTGTGAGGAGGGGAACCGACTTGTCCTCGCCCACCAGCATGTCTTTCTGTATTTGCATCTTGATGTCCTGATATTGCCCCACGATGGACACCGTGTCAGTGAGGATGTGCTCGAGGGAGTAGCAGGACGCGTCCACATCCTTGCCCTGCACGGAACAGCGGTCGGTCAGGAAATTCTCAATTGAAGTAGACGCGCTGCACACATTCATATAAATTCCATTCCTGGTCTTAAAAAAGGAAACCATAAACCATATACCAAAACCCATCAACACACACAGAAGCGCACTCAAAGACACGTAAGTCATAATGTTAAAGAATCGCTTCTTCACATTTGCTATTATATCTTTATTTTCACACTCCTGTTGTTCCCTCCTATGTTTTTTCCTTGTGCACGTTTTGCAACGAATAGATTTAATCAACCTTCGAAAGAATTTGGTGTACAAAAATAACGTTAAGAGATAAACACACGTAAAAATGATGAGGAAGTATACAGACCCCATGACGTACGGGTTCCTCTTGAGAATGTTCAATACACTTTTAACATTCAATCTCGTAAAGTCTTCCATCCTCCAGGATGTGTAAAGTGTGCTCCATATGGTCCTCGAAAATTCGCTGGACCGGTCCTGCGGGACCTTCACTCCACCGCTTGGGCAAAAGTACCCGAACTCATTATGTATAGCTTTGGCAATGGCTTTCAAACGATCCTTCAGCAACTCCGTCTTCTTCAGGTCGATGCTCAGATTGTACTCGTCGCTCATTTTGGGCGGAAGCGGGAGAAAAAAAAAAAAAAAAAGGAGTTCAAGGAATGGCGTACAGGCGGAATGGAAGCAAGGGACGCCTCTTGTTTCACTTCTTTTTTAACACAGGCCCAAGTTCACCTCTCTGGAGGGGACACTTGAACTCTCCGTCACTAGCTAAGCAGCATCAACGGTGATATGTCTTCCTGCCCCCGAAACACACGTCAATAGACAATCATATCATCAATCACACGAGCAGTCACGCGCAGAACAAATCTTCAAAATCAAGTAGAAAAAAAAAATCGCGCATTCATGTGGAAGGCAAACATGTAAAAGTTACGCATGGCTCCAAAAGTGCCCCCATGTTCTTAACACGTTGCACAGTGGACTGAGGTTCGGTTGGTTAGGAAAACTCCAAGGGGAATTGTAAATGAATTTGCAGCTTCCTACTTTGGCCTCTTTCAGACGGGGGGCAGAGGAGGAGGCGGCAGCGATATGGACAAAAGGGGGCACATAAAAAAGGGACAAAAAAGGCACAAAAAACGACAAAAAAAGGACACAAAAGGGACCAAAATAATGGAGGTACTTGACAATTGGGTACTGTTAACGAATGGACCCAAAATAACCTCCAAATGAGCGAAAAGATGAATGCGCGCGTAATGCCACCACTAATGTGCTCCATGAAACGCCTTAAACCCCCTTCCATGCGGAGGACACACTGGTCGGAGGGCTTTCCTACTTGTGCATGTGCTGGACGCACAAACAATCATGCAAGGGCACATGCAGGTGATGGGACACATAACCAGGCGTCCGCTCGGCATGTAGGAGGAACACCCAGGTGTGAGCATGCGCTCGGGGGAGAGGAAAAGTGCGCATGCGCGCGAATATGAAAAAAAGTACACACGTTTGCAAGTAAGCTCACGAACGCGTGTTTGCGATTTTTTTTTTTTTTTTTCAAATTTCATTCAGATTTGTGACGTTTTAACTGCTCCGTCCTTTCCCCACCCCGCACACCGTCCGCATTAATGTGTGTTTTTTGGCGCGCACGAAAAAAAGTGCAAAATGAGAAAAGGACACCCAAGGAGCAAACGCACCGCGAAAGTGTGAACAAAAAAAAAAAAAAAAA